ACAGAGCAACTACCTTTCTCCACCACAAACACGCAGACACAAATGGTTCAGGAGCGTATGCGTGGACGAGTTTGTGAGTTGTTCTCACCCAGTTTCATCTGATAAAAGTGCAACTGAACCGCAGCTGAAAATTCTACTCACCAGCGTGTTTTCGTCTCAGTGAATCACCTGGTAGTTAACGTGTCACATTCCGATAGCCGATAACGGAGATACCAAAAAGCCGCCTTGAAGTTTCCAGGATCGATCATGCATGGGAAACGTCTACGAACTACTCAAATACGCATGCGCATTTATAGATGCAACTCACGCACACAAAACCAGCGGGAGTTTCAAACTTAAACCACGTTTCCAGGGCTTGACTGTTTGACCGACCATAAGAGTTCACCTGTTCCGTTCGCACATGTTTGGTTGGACAAATGTGGCTCTAATGTCCAGAGGGAAAAATATTCCAGAACATGGTAGCAAAAACTAGGTACAATCAATCATCTCCTGCTATGTCGCACCCCTGACAGGCCGCATTTTCCAGTATCTTCCCACTTTCTCGAAAACCCAAGCCAACCATATGCGCAATAACGTCGTTTTTGACCAGGTAATGTCGAATCCCTCAATATGTCGCAGTTTCTGATACCTACTCACTTGGTCTTTGACCGATTTTCGTGACGGCCATTTACCAGCCACACTGCAATGCCGCACTCAGTCAATGGCGTTTCACCTAGTGTGACGCGCGCATGACACTGTTCACTGATTGAATAATCTTTGCGTGGAAGACACCCTAAAGCCAACAATCGAAGACATTGTCACTTGACTTCAAAATGTGCGCTGGCCCATCGATCAGAACGAGTGGAAATGCTGAATCAGCCATGTGCAACTCAGAGAGCTCCACTACCGCATCACTTGGTATTTCAGGGAAAAAACTGTCTACAATATTATATCCCACCGAACGATTGTCGGAGAAGCTGTGAACGTTGAAGCATCTCAGAAAAGTTGCCACCTGAAAACCAACGAAATGTCCAAGATGGGGAATGAGGTGACCTTGGCTTGGTTTACTGCAATGTTTACTGCACAGTGAGTTCCCCATGGTGGAGAGCATTACTTGTGAGAAAACAATCTATCTAGCACAAAGATTGCATCATCGTGAATTCAAGGCATCCAAAGGTTGGTTTCACTCTTGATCAGACAGATGTGTTATTCAATCCTACAAAATAAGAGATAAGCAACTACTCAGGTGTATTACTTTGTAGGTTTGTTTGGAAATTTGGGCGGTAACATGTGATGCAGTAGACGAGATTCGAGCAGGGTTACTGCAGTTGACCCATAGATATGCTGACTGTGATATTTTTAATATACACGAAGCAGCTTTGGATTACAAGCAGCTCTCAGAAAGAGCATTAAGTCTCAAAGGAAAACATTTTCTAGAGCCAATAAATCCAAAGAGAGGGTCACGTTACTGCTTTATGGGAGAAATGTTATCACTGTTGATTACTGGAAAATTTCAAACTGCACGATGTTTCCAAGGTATAGATGGAAAAAGCTACCACAGAAAAAATGCCATTTGACTGAAGACTTTACTCACTACGAGGCTATTGACAAAAATCTTTTTAAAGAAGAAATCCTCTGTTTAGGATGATGATGAGGAAGTGGATTATTCAAAAATTTTATATGAAGTCATTTTTTAGTGATTAGATAACTCGTCCAGAAGTAGATTGCCACTAAGAGACAAGTACCGGGTGGAAAATGTCAAGGGAGATCAATCCAAGATCTGGCTTGAGGGTTTGAAAACCCTAACCAGGACACTGGGTCACATAGGTCCCGTTATGCTCCCGTTGATTAAAGACACTGAATGATAGGGCTGAGGGTCGCAAACAGTGGCGCTCGTGCATCTACCCGTTATTCTTCCAACATCGCTCCATATGAATTCCCCATCTTCCGCTTGACTTTGCTCTCACCATTCTAATCTTCATTCTTTTATCCAAAAGACAGCAACCAAAACCGGCGCACGAAAGTGTATGATTAATGGTTGTAAAAGCTGAACTGAAACTGAACAGTGATCACAAAAACCAGAGACCATTCGGTCTACCGCTGGGCCCTGTCTCACTAACGCGCAAACCGGTGAATGATAATCGCGCTTGACTGGTAAGCAAGTGTGGAGTAAAATGTCAGATCCAGGCGATCGATAATCGAAGTCACGCCTGTGTGAATGAGTGAACGATAATTACACTTGTCCTTGCTAGAGCACCGATGAAATCAGATAGGTCACTGGCCAAAGGTCATCGCAGCCGGGGTCTAATGAGGCCTTGACTGTTTGAGCAATGCAATTCTAATTTGCGAATTACTTATTGAGCTTAATCCGTCGCTTATTTCTACCAACACTGGTCAACGAATGTATCAATCGGTTTGAGCATACATTAGAAACAATAATAACAAACGAACGAAGAGATGTTTACAGACACTAATGATACACATTTTTCACCATAAAATCATGAATAGACTGCACGGCGAATAATCGGTTTGGAATATGAGAAGGAAGTCAGTGTACTGAGTATACCCCGTAACAGATAATGCACTTATTTAGATAATGTGGTTTCCTTCGAATACGATTTTCGTCCCGTGTTCTCACTGTGTTCGATCTGGTTTATTCTTGGTTTCATGGACTGGGTTCGTATTGATGTTGGGAGTATAATAACTAAAATAGTGGTATGTTATGGTGGACGCCGTGAACTCCATTCTGTGGTTAGTCTAACATTACAAAGGAATGGAGAAATGTCTAGAATTAATATACTTTAATTGGGTTAGAAAATGTTCCCCGGAAGAAAGCTAAGCAGTTTCGGGGAAACCAGACACTTTAAATTGAAAAGGGGCGAATACCTGAT